TTTTTTTATCATAATATCTGTAACACGCAAAAGGAAGCAAAAGCGTGAAATCCCGACTTGATTTAGCCATGTCTGTCCTTCTGTGGGCTGTGTATTGTAATCACTCTGCTGGGCGCAAAAATGGAAACATCAACATTGGAATTTCCTGCACGCAGGTAGGTATTGAAAATGATCCAAATTGGTCAGAGCAAAAGCACACAGTGGAGCGTAAACTGAACGCAACTCAGTTTTTTCTAATAAATATTTTTGGATTTTTGCTCGTTACTGGGAAATTATTAAAATTACAAGGCTGAAATTTTCCGCATTTGCTTTACGAGACACTTTACTTTTCAAGTCCAAAAATGGACCCAATCGGCCGTGTCAACACAAAGTTACGATTAATTAAATTTATTTTTCTCTCTTTTTTGAGGTTTTAGGGTCATTTATCATAAGCCAAACGAGAGAATGTTTAAAACTATATTGTACACTCTTTAATGAAACGTATATTACCTGCCTAAAAATGGGCTAATTTTAAAAGGAATATGGTACACGGCGCGATTAATTGCGAAAAATATAATGGTAGGTACGTGAGATTCGGCCCCCGCCAAATATAATTTTCTTACTGGTTCTTTTTTTTATATTATATTTATAAGCTACAGGCAAACATGCATAGTTAAAATTAATCTAAATCATGCGCTTACAAAGAACTAAAGACTAATAAAATAATCATCTTGCGCTATCATCAACCTTTTAATCGTCAACTGACGGTAGCGGGCGAATTCAGGCTTTCAAGCACGAGGCATATTTTCTTTTAAAAACATTTTCAGAGTCAGGAAAGGAACTCCATGCCGACAGGATAAGGAACGACCTTTCATCTAATATACGGAATTTATATAAAAAGGTTCGTACTTGTCTTAGAACACTGGACTCGTTTGATTAAAAGAATTGGCGCTTGTGACCGAGCAGGTTTGTAAAGATAGTTTAAAATCCTGAATTTTATAAAAATATTGAGGAGACGTACAAGGGGAGATGAATGCATATTTTTTATACATTTATATAAACAAGATTATATATTATATTTCAAGCACTTGTATGAATATATGGAAAGAATTATCATTAAATTTTTCAAAATAGGGTAAAATCGAATGGCACGCCTATAAAAATTGTATAAAACTATTGAGGAGACGTACAAGGGGAGATGAATGCATATTTTTTATACATTTATATAAACAAGATTATATATTATATTTCAAGCACTTGTATGAATATATGGAAAGAATTATCATTAAATTTTTCAAAATAGGGTAAAATTGAATGGCACGCCTATAAAAATTGTATAAAACTATTGCGGTACCAGGGTGGTTTGGAAAACCGTGAGAAGAATTTTATGGTATGCAGAACTAACTGACTGACGGTGTGGCCAATTCTGCAGCCTCTAAAAGACAAGTCTACACTGCTCCAGAATGACCAACCACCGTGATATGTTTTCCAGATTTTGTTGGCATTTCTAGCCGGAGGACACGGAGGTCCTTCAAAAGGAGGTAATTGCCTTACGTACTATACAAAATAGTTACGAGCATATGTTGCAACATCCACAAGCTAACTCCGGACCTGAAGAAGCTCGCCTTACAACTCCTTTCTGATCAAAGTTAAGCAGTAAAAGCAAATCCCAAAGTTTACACAAAATGTAAATGTTTAATTTGTCCAAAATTACTTTCAATTACTCTCAATTACTTTTGCAACTCCGCGAACATTAAAGCTTCTTGAGCTCTATCCCTGTCTAGACCTGCAGAAAGATTCACTTGTTGCACTGCTGGCTTGCCCAGCCTTTGTCCTTGTTTATTGCCTTTATCCTTCTAATTGTTTGTTACGGAATCCTGAAGAATCGACCTCTTGTTCAGCTCTTCTTAAAGTAGGTTCCTTTTGTGTTAGCTGATCACGCAATCCAGAACTTTTTGATTGCTCATCTAATACTGCCCTTTTTAGTACAGAAGCTTGAGTTCTGAGCTGCACTTGTAAATGGACGGGATTATTGAAATGAAATTATTGAAATTATAATGTTTCCCAGAATTGCTTCGAGTAATAAACACAGCTTACAACGTAAATGGTCTTCATGTAAACAATCAAAATTTCGCAACCCTAAGCTTTTAAAAGGTTTATAAAAAAAGTACCATGCGTGGAGAATAGAGAGAGCACAGAGTTGCGTCCAATAAATAAGAGAAACGATGAATAAAAAATCTCTCTCATCTGTTAAATGGGAAAAAGTAACAACCAGTCGTTCACATCTCTGTTAAATGAGAAGAAGTAACAAAGCAAACATTTTATTACTCCAAAAACTCCCAATAACCAAAAACAACCATTATCATATAGCCATTTTCTTCCAAAATTAAAAGATTTTTTTCTCTCTTCTTCAATAGTCAATAAATAAACATTTCACTTAATTGACGCTTACTATAAGAACATGTACCACACAGAAGTTGACGAATGCAATCAGACGTTCATTTTAAAAAACTTTGATAAATTAATCAAAAACGAGAAGTTATTACGTCTATCGTTTGAAGAGATAGGTAAATAGTTGGAGCATCAATATATTCGTAAGCCCTTGATTAAAAAGAAAACCAACAACATTTTAACATTACTTGGCTTCCTAGGTTAGTCTGCCGGTCGCCGTTGAATAGAACAGACCCAAATTTATGTAATTAACCTTTGTCTTAAGAAATTTTGCTATCTAACGAGGTAAGAAATTAAAGCTTTGAGATGGAATGTATTTTCTTAAGAGGATAGTACTTTCCTTACCAATCATGATTGTTGTTACTTGTCAGTTCGGTGACGTCACGATCACAGCTCGAAGCTATTAAAATAGCTGCGGCCGAGGCTTCTGAGAAATTGGCAGAGGCTGCCGCTGCTGAATGCCTGGAAGCTGAACGTCGTGAAGCAGAAGATACTAAAAATATCAATAAAAAGTTCAATGGGGCGTAACATTTATAATCTAGTGCAAAGCAAAATGATAGCAAATCATTAAAAGCGGATAAACACTGTTCCGGTAATAGCAATGAAAAGTCGTCAAATTATTTTGGTCGTAAGCTATACTTTTCCGGTCGTACGCTATACTTTTCTATCAATGAGAAATGGTTTTTGGTCGTAAGCTATACTTTTCTGGTCGTACGCTATACTTTTCTATCAATGAGAAATGTTTTTTGGTCGTAAGCTATACTTTTCTGGTCGTACGCTATACTTTTCTAAGCTACTACAAATGCTCACAATAAGCACAAACCTTAAGTTGCATATTTTTTTTTTTTTGTTTTGCTTTAAATAGATTTGAACGGAGAATATATCTCCGAAATTGTCTTCGACAAGGATTTATTATTTTCACTAGCCTATAGGTATGATCCTATGCTTTTTTTTGGTTTCCTTTGAAAAGTTAAGCATAATACGACACAGAAATATATTCACAAAATTGCTTGTCGAAATTAATTTAAACTGTTTACCAAAAGTTCCTAAATATGCAAGATCAAATGAATTTTATTTATTGTCTAGATTTGGACTTTAATATTGAGAGACTAGAGTTTGCGTCATACCTTTCGATCAAATTTAAGAAATATGATATGAATTTTAGAGAAAGTTTTTCATAGAGGGGTGTATAAAATGCGAAGGAGAAAAATCTTCCTGTGCGACTATTTTAATATTTCGAATTTAAACGTTTCACAGTTTTCTCTTGCAGAGAGGCTTATCAAGTAACTACATTTTTCGCGGAACATTGTAATTGGTTGTAATCCAAAATTTTGCAAATTTATTTTTTATTTCTGATGTGACTGCCTTCAAAAATAAGTAATATTAATGTGTTATGAAAATATTCTTATCTTCATATGATTCGATTAGTCTCGTTTATTTTTTATACATGCTTGCACAATGCCGGTACGTTGAGACGGCAAACGATATTCACCATTTATCGATATATTCATGATAGAGTTGCCTACTTCGTAGTTGCAGTGACGAAGGAGGTGTTAACGAAATTCCCAAATTAACTGAATCTTATAATTTATATTACAACCGCTAGTAACATTATCGATTGATAATCAGCTGTTGAAGAAAGAAGTAAAGAAGAAATGTACTGGAAAACGTGCGTATGTGTAGAAAAATTAAGTGCAAACGCGTTTTTGAGAAACACACTACTTTTCTTTATTATGAGATTGTATAATATCGACCATGATTGTCAAAAAAGTAATACATAATTTTATCTTATTAGAAACGTTTCGTTCTAGCTTTTCTGATAATTCCGTACGGCTTCAATTGTTATAATTAAGTCAACATTGATACCATACATAAATAAATAAATAAATAAATAAATAAATATATATACACGAACAGAGGCCCACACACCCACGCAAAATTAAATTTGTGTTGTATACAAAAATTTTAGTAGATTATGGTTTTTCATGCGGTTGATTGCATGCAATTAACAGCGGCATGTTCACAACTAATTGCGAAGGGGAAGTCAAAAATTAAATAGGAAAAAACAAAGAAAAGAAACGTAATCATTACATAATATAAAAACAACAATTACATGTGCGGGTGTGCGTGCGCTCATAAATTCATGCATAATTTAAAGGATACAAGTACTAGAAAGATTTTTGGAGAGAATAAATGTTAATCACCTACAGTCGCTTTACATGAACGCATACAAATGCATACAGTAAAAGAAAAAAAAAGGGACGCACAGGACAACGATTTAAAATTTGACAAAACCAAGACTATAATAGTAACAACAAGAGCGATAAGCATATGATGTATGGAGAGCAATGACGAAGTAAACAGAACAGAGCAGAGAATAACAGAGTATATTCGAAGCAGTTGCTAAAGCTATCAGAAAACATTCCTGTCGAAAGTTTTGTAATAAATACTTGTGCAAATAGTTTTAAATATAACGTTGACGGTAAAGGTTATCTATTAAACTAAGAGGAAAGCAAAAAAGAAAGAGCGGCAATAAGAACAACAACAAATCTTCAAATTTTTATCCTTATATAAAATTTAATTATAACCCTAAGAAATTCCTTTAGAAAGTAAAAAAAGGAATGAATAGAAAAAAATGAAAAGTGTTGGAAATATTTTTTAAACAATTTTTGTTTTTTTACTTTCAAGGTTATTATATATACATATATACACATAGACGCATATACGTATGCGTATATATACATATACATAGATATATACATGGATATATACATATATATACACATATGCATATACATATATATATATATACATATACAGATATATATATATGTCCTAGAGAGTAAAACAACATGTTTCTTTTTTTTGCAGTAACTTGGGGCATAAACATGAAAAATTTCTTAATTAGATACAAATAAAGGCAAAAAATAAACAGAAATACAAAAACAAGAAGAAACACATACGAAGGCAATGTCAATACCACCAACACATTTAAGGTTGTGTACATAAGCGCGTACTTTATCATGACAAACGCCTGAAAATCAATTACTTTTAATTTCGTCTTTACTTTCTGCTCTACTTGATACGATTTGTTAGCGAGACAACAACAACGACAAGAGCAACAAGAACAATGTAACATAAACGATAAAAATGATAGAAGAAGAAAAACTTAATTTAATTCATTATCTATTAAGCAAAATTCAGAAAAGTACATACAACAGCAACACTTCAACTAGTTTCTCCCAACCATATATAAAAGAGACCACAAGCTAAGAACATTTTTGAAAACATTTAAATTAAATAAATAAACAATAATAACAATTACACATCTTGCATACATGTTCGTATAATAAAACCCCAATTAGAAGTTAGTAAAAAGAAAAATTTTCCTTTTCTTTTTCAAAGTTTTTTTATTATTGTTATTATTATTTTTTCTTTCGTTAATTTTTTTTACACAGCTTTCTCAAAATTAAAAAGTGATTGTGTTTCTGTATTCGCGCTACCGGTTTAAAATAATGAACTTAAATTAACTTAAAAGCAACAAAAACAAGGCAAGCTAAGTTAATTTTCTCGAACTTCACGACCCAGCGTTTAATAAAAGCCCGAGATGTACGCCTAAATTAAGTCTGCAATAGTTTGAACCTTCTGTTAATCACAAGGAAAACAGTCTCTCTTACTGCGATACGGCTGCTCTTACTCTTACAGCGAAGTGCTCTAATAGGATAATTGAAAAATACTTAATCATCAAGAAGACACCGGAACTAAAAAAATAAAAAGCAAAATGAGCGAAAGGTTTGCGGCTAACGAATTCAGTTATATCCTTCAACGTCAGGTCAGTACCTGAATAATAAATGAGAAATTGATGAATGGCTTTGAAAAAAAGATAACGAAAAAATAGAAAAACAAAAAATTGTGTTCGCCTCAGTTCGAATTTTGGATAACCAGCGCAATGGTTTTCTTTTTTAATAACTCTGGATGTGATTTCAATTTGTTCAGTTGGAAGGGTCTGGTCGTTATTCCAAACAATAATGTCTATGCATTTTGTATTTTTTTCCCCAATTTTTTTTAATTATAGAAAATTTGTTCGTAGATGAACGTATAAAGTCATCAACAGGATGTCTAATTGCAAAGTTGCATTTTCATATAACATATTAATCTTTCCCTTCATGAGTATTCCTTCAATAAGAAAAAGAATAAGATGGACTTAAAATATAGGCACTTTTTGGAATCCGTCTTTTCTCTACCTTTAGATGGAAGGATCCTGTATGGCATTTCCAAGGCTTCGCTTTTATCATGAAAAGAAAATTTTAATGAAAAATGTGTGTTGATATGTTAGTAGGCCAATGTTCCTTTTTCTTTTTTTCAAGGAGTGAAAAAATTCAAATCCAAAAGCAAAAAGAAAAAAGAGATTTGCGTCGCACTAAACTTCTCCCTTTTCGCCCTACAGATATCTGAGCTACCTTACAGCGAAGGAAGTAAAAGTCGCGACTACCACTTCCGTGTTTGCGGGTTCAAGGTTTAGTGCGTGACTTACGATATTGTTTGATCGAAAGAGAAAATAAATTATTGTCTTTTTCCTCTAATGACCTCTCATCTTGATCACAATATTTATTCTCATGTTAAATTTTTGATTTTAAAAGGTGATTTTCCTAGTGTTGATTATGTACGCCGATGAAATCAGATGCCAATCGCTTTCTCTATTACCTCTGGCCTTTCTGACCATCGGCGTGTTACACGTCTATTGAGTGATTGTTCACATTAAATAATAAAAAAAAAAATTGAGAGAACATCTGAGACTTAGCTGCGTTAAAGTCGCTATCCTCAGTCTACTTTTCTACAGCTACAGTTACATTCTATGGCTTGCAATACTACTGCTATCTGTCGATAGCTCCATTTTAGCGGCAAGGAGAATATTTACAACAGACATTACACAGACGGACAGACACAGGGATGGGAATACGGGCAGACGGACATGGTTAAATCGCTTTAGAATTTAATGCTGGTCAAGAATATACATATTTTGTGGGGTCACTTTCACCGTCGTTCGGCAACAATACTTAATAGCAGCTGAATATATACTACGTCGTAATAGAAAATCTTTATCTTTGGACGAGAGAGTACAGAGAATGAATCAACGTTAGAAAGAATGGAGATAGTAAATCTTGCATGGTTGTATTAAAAGTAAGAAATAAATGAATTATGAGTTTTGTTTTTCTGAAGTCTCTTTAAAATAATATTAGACAATAAAATTTTGAGTTTTTTTAATAAGTTTTTGTTTAGCCTTACTTGCGAACGACAACATCTAGAATATAAAAATTTTGATACTATTGGTAACGTTTTATTGTTTTCTGCCTTCAGGTCGCTAAATGTGACGTGGTCCGCATTTGAACACTTTAACTTAATAAAGAAGAAAAATCGCAGCAACAGATATTTTGTAAATGTAACGAAACAAAACAAACAACTATTAAATATTAAACCGCAAAACAGAACTAAGTATGCCCATTTAATACGGAATAAGGAGTAATCTCTCATTAAATGAAATGCTAAGGGGAAGTGATTTCCGCATAACGACTTTTACAAATTATCTTGAGTTTATTATTTAACATTATTAATTACTTCTGACCACAGAGTCAAGTAGACGTTTAGTCTGTTGAATGCTACTCCTTTAGTAACTATGAATATCAAGTAGTTAACCATTAAAAAGTAAAGAGAGAGAGAGAGGCTTACGATTTTTTTCAGATTCCTAATTCTTGTTGGCAAACATTGTTGTGATAATTCCTACGTTTATAAGAACCTGGGGGAACCTGAACATCATCGAGGAAAGGACCGTTCGGCCTGCCACATAACCGAGTAAATAAGACTCGCGACTACCAAGTCGGTGTTCGTGGATGTAAATCTCCGTGCGGCTTAACCCTATTTGCTTGAAGTATTCAGCACTTAACGATTGGGTGCTCATGGCTGCGACATGCAGGCAGTTAACTGCTATAGGGTCTCAAGATTTACCATAGGTTTGTGAGTTATTAAAAGGGTCACAGAAATTGTTGATTGAGTGGATGTCTGGCGTACCATCGTTAGCGGTGCAGATAGGTCCCGCTTTGCTCAGCGGTGAGGGTTTGGACCACACCCAAACTTTCACATCTGGTGCGCTACTTTTGGCATAAGCCCTTTAAATAATGCAACATTTTCTTGCAAGCAGAAGAGCGTAAGCTACACTTTGCATATAACTCATAAATCAATAATCAGGTCTCATCTGATTAAATGCACGACAACATCTTCAACATCTTCATATATGGGAGACAATCCCTAAGTGATTGATTGGACAAGAAAAAAAGAGAAAAGAGAAAAGAGACTTGATTTAATATCGCTACTGAAACCTTCAGCGGGGAAGAGTAATTTTCTCCTAGACCTATAACAGGTAGGCGCTAGGTCTTATAGTGAGTTAGTCAAGGAAAGAACACTTAGCTTTTTTGTCTGGCTTTTCAAGAGGTAATAAGGTTCTCAGTTTTCTTCCTGGCTCATTATTGGTTAAATTGGTTTTGATGTTAATTGCGTAATGAAGACACAATTCACATATAATGCGTGGTGACGATAACGGATCAAGTTTACTTTTGTACATTGAAAAAAAAAAGACTTGTAACAGTGAAGTAAGTACAGTGTATAGTAAAAGTAAGGGCATAACATTTTCTATATGGTGGTTTTAAGAACAGAAATTTTCTATATCGTAAACAATTACCTTTAATTACTTTATTTCTTTATCCCTTACGAATATTATATTTAAAAATGAGAGATTATATAATAATAAGATTATATAATAACAATAATGTAAAGGCTATAGACAATTTAACTATTTTAGTTATTTTATATGAAATTACAGCCATTAGCTTGATTATAACATATTCTCGTTTATACGCGTTCATAAATTTCACATTTATTACGTTTATCATTAATTCACACATACATACACGTGCAAATTTTGTACGAGTATTACAATATAAACCACAAAAGCTATTAGTTTCATATTTCATTCATACAATGCAAATAAACGCACATACGCATAAACAAACACAAACAACATTTCATTTTAACTAGCAGTATCACGCTGATGAACGTTGTACCGTTATTGTACAACATAGAGTTTTTAACCAATAAAGCACATTGTACGTTGAGTTGAACGCTACACACACATATATAAAAAAATGTACTGCCTATATATACCATTGTTGTTAATGTTTACGGTCCTCTTCCTCTTCCTTCTGCGATTTTATGTTTATTATTCTTTTTTTTGCTCTATGTTCTGTTTTTTATTTTATTTTTTTACTTTTGCTGTTTCGCGAATCATGTTATATGACAAGAAAATTGTAAACTTCATACGTCATGATGTACGATTGATTAGGAATAAAAAATTGTACATATACAATGTATCAAATAAAGTGAGAATTATTCTTAACCAACCAGCATATACATTCACTATCCGTGAATATATGTTGATCAAATATCTAAGAGCATAAAAAATTTTTATCAAAAGAGAAAATTTTGATGGACTGTCGTAAATTTCATGTACCGTCCTACGGTTATGTTTTTATCCCGTCAATTGGGTGGACAAGGTATAGATATATAAAATATACATATGTATAAACTTATAGTTGCGATGAATAGAGTGCAGGAAATATTTGACTTAAGAAAAAAGCAAAAAAAAGACTTATTTATATTCATCATCTTTATTATGCACTATAGTTGATTGTAACAAATCCTTTAATAAGTTCGTAGGGTAACTTATAGATGTCGTTACTACAGTAGCTATCTTCGAACCAAATGCTTCAAAATTTCATGATATCATGACGCTTAAATTACAAGTTACAGTTGTTTCAACGACGCTGCTTTTGTAATTTAAATGGATACGAATACACAAATTTGGTCATTTAATTTTTGTACAGATTGTTACTCAGATGCGGATGTTGAGTCTGTCTGAGTGGGTATTCATATTTACCTGTGCCTTTGTGTTTTCAATTGCCGGGCTGCTCCGCTTCTTCATTTCTACATTTTTCCAATCTTCAGCTATCTTTACAATATGTCTATTGTCTTAGTCATTCTTGGATTTATTCCATTTTTTCTCGTTGTTCCCTATAAACGGATATCCTTTTTTTTTTGTTATCGCTAAAAAAGCTTCGTTCCTCAGTTTTCCAGTTCTCTCATCTGCCCGTTACTCAGGCTGCATTTGTAGATTTGCCCATTCCCCAGCTTTCTAATCACTCAGTCAGGTTAATCTCTTAATTGGCAGTCCCAAGGTGCAAGCCATGCACGTAACTGCCATTGTGACTTTTCTGGTTACTCAGTCGTAGGCTTGCATACTTCGCTACTAAGAAATCAGTTACTCTGCAGGCTCGAGATTTAGCAAAAATCTTTGAGCTATTAAAAGGGCAAAGAAGTAATAGTATGATTTGGTGTCTGGCTGTGTTGGGTTAATATATGTTCTTTGTATATTAAAATCCTGAGGGAAAAATGGATCGCAATCGACGAAATATGGATAATGCGAATGTAAAGTATGCATAAACTATTCGATCTACGTGATCACTCGTTTGCAAACAACGTGCAGTTATGAGAACTTCATTAGGGATGCCTATGTACAAACAACAGCGCTGTAAATACTTCGCAGCATGTGAAGCTTGTGCTTACCAGCGTTAATTAACTGGAGGCGGACGTGGATGTAGCCTTGTGCAGAGAATCATACTCTAACCTTCGTATCTGACACTTCGGCTTTGATGTAATTGCTCCCATATGCAGGGTCATTATTTTGCTGGTCACATATTTTACAGTTCAATTTCTGGATGCCTT